AAAAGGAGCAATTTTTAGCAAGAGGATGTTATACTGACTTACACATGGTAACACAAAGCTGATTTCTAAAATCATTAGTAAAATTAGAGGAAATCTTACCTAGATGTAAGAGTAGACAGTTGTGTTAGATAAATAGTCATTAACACGCACAAACCTCTCCAGATATTGTCTGACCAGTAACCACATTCTGCCAGTTTAGCTGATCAAATTCAAACCAAGGATTGCTAACAAACTGCCAGAATTGCCGTATTTCAGCTTGCGTTACAAAAGGAAACAACAAAACACCATTTAATTCTGCCAAGAGATTAATTTTTCACTTGCACATTGTGCATTAACAAGAATACCTATTCTTAAGTGACTAGAAATCCTAACATTTCTAGATTTTATAACCATGTGACTTACTATAATATCGTATTACAATCTGTGAGAACCGTGTAGCTCACAGAATTACAAAAGCCCGTATCCTTGTACCTTCTTAGGTGCCAGCTTCAATCAAAACCCTGACAGGTTATTCAGAATTAAGGAGCCATACTCCTTGCCTAGAAAAACATTAACAAGCTTAAAGATAAAAGGCTGAAGCTCCTTATATTAGCCTCAGAGAAACACGGATCAGCCCCTGGATCAACTCCCTGGCTGAAGAGTCTAAGTCTTTGGAAAGCAAAAGCTAAGAAAAAAGGTGGAAAAATCACATACTACCAGTGAACTACTAGGTTTTCCTTAGGGTTTTCACCCAACCACACCTCCCCCATGCAATTTATTTGCAGTAGCACCAATCAAACATAGGTGAGAAGGCCTCTGAGTGAAATCCCAGGCCAACTAGAATTAATAGCAAAGCTCCTGCTAACCTTAGCAGGGTCAGACTTTCACCCCGCAGACCTGGGACCACATTGAGCAAAATGCACAGAACAAATTCACACTTTATAAAGAAAAACTTAGAATATGATCTACAGAGCTATTTTTTACTAGCTAGAAGTACATAATACAACATTTTCTTTAATATTTTATGGATTGTAAATACTCTTTAGTGCATTTTGGTAGGATTCCTTTATCCAAAGGGAATTCTAAGTTTTAAAATCACATTCCACACAAGGTTTGAAGGAAGCCCGAACTAGTCCCACAAAGTTCGCATCAGCAAAACATTGTAGCTTTCAGTATCAGCAGCTTTCGTTACTCTTTTGGCAGCAGTAATTGAAAAGAAGGTCTGGAGGGCAGCAATGACAGGAGTGTCAAAAGGTTAAGTGTACTAAAAAAACTACAAAACAGAAAAGGTGAACTCTACAGGTAGATAAAGGAGTTACTCATACAAAATATCACTGAACATAAACCAGGTGGAGAGGCATTAGACTAACCAAGTCTGACTAAGCTGATCTTTGCATGAAAATCACCGAGGAAGAATAACAAATACTTCCAAAATCAAATATGGTAAAGTCAAAAATAACCACTCTAGGTTTACTGCATGTCATTGCTCCATTATAAATCTTTCAACAAACTTAGGATTTTGCTATCTGTATACTCACTCCAGGTATAAATAATGAAAACCAGCTGAACCTTACCTACTTTGTATTCAATTTGTACCAACATTTGGTCTTTGAAAGGAACTGCAGGCTCAACACTGAACACTCACAATTCGGAGCTGCCAGCATGCACCAATAACTAGTATGTTAAAATTCTAGTACTTCTGCCCAAATCTTCAGTTTAATGGCAGGAATGGGAACAGTTTGCTCAAGTTAGAGGGATCGACTTTTCTGAAAGCTGCCAGCCATTCTTTCTCACACATATCACTGATAAAGGTTTCCCAGCAGCTCTCTTAAATAGCAGAACAAGTAGTTATCCACATAAAGAACCTAAAGGAATCTTTCCTACCCTCAGGTTAGACAAAATTCTGTTATTCAAAAGGTAGACTCTTCTATTAAAGGGTGAAACTTCTGTCTGGAAGAACCTGACTCTTTGTGCAATGCATTTTCTCCTCGCATTCAGTACACACACACACACACTTCATTGCTCAGTTTCCTTTGTACTGATGCAAAATCAAATGCTTTTAATAGGATTTTAGAAGTTAGAACATAAAACCATAGAAAATAGCAGGATCTTTCTTGGGTGTTGCTGAAGCAGTTGCAAACTGTACTAAAGCAGCATACATTCTCTCCTCCTGCTAGGCCTTTTAGGTATTTTTCCCCTGAGTTGTACAACAGCTATTACAGTTGTGCCTTCTTTCAGGCACTCCCTTAGGAGGTAAATGTCCCTGAGGGAATATGTTTAATGTATTTCTAAGCACGACAGCCATCAAAAGACTAATCCAGATAGAATTTCTTTTCAAAGCATTTCCTTGTGCTATAGTAGTAATGACAGCCTTGACTTTTCAACCTTCTTTCCCACACCAAACAAGTTTTAAGTGAATTTCCAGATGTTACTCGCTCAGCACACCTTCCTGTAGCCATGTACTCTTCCTGTAGTTGTGCCAGTCACATCAGTATACAACCACCCTTCAGTCAGTACATACTTTCATTATAAGCATAGCTGCACGCATTTATTGCCACAGCTTTTCTTACTGTTTGTTGATATCTGGAACAGATGACGAAGTAATCTAGCTGAAAGAATCACTCCATTTAGCAGAGACTGAAAGTGCTGTTAATGAAAACATCTAGTAACTGACTCCCTTTGTGTCCCTGGGTGTATAAGGAATAAGAATTACCATCTGTTCAGTCATGTCATTCCTTCTTCCCCGTTTTTTCTCATCATTATTATATTGCCCCACTTAGTCATGCCACAAAGACTTGTATATTGATCAAGCGACAGCAAAATAAGATGTCTGAAAGAAACACAGGTAGCAATTCACGGCACCTTCTCCTTCGTGCTAAGTGAAATGTAAGCAAAAACAGACAAAGAATACATCTCCAATCTTCCTTAAATTAATAGCCCCATTTGATTTTAATCGCATCAGTTGCACGCTACTTCAAAAAGAGCTAGAAAATAATTGGCTTGTGAAATCTAGCCTGTTTTTTCCATCTCCCTCAGCTGGCCAACATTCAACCTTTTTCTTTCAGCATAACCGGAGGAAGCACAAACCAAAAACCATTTTCAGCCTGTCATAGCTTTGTCTCCCAATTACTCTACTGGCCTTTAAAACAGAAGATCTTTCCAGCTGTAAAGTTGCCAAGGATGAAAAGTGCCAGCCATGGGGAACGGGTTGGTGCGTTTTTCACTTATGAAATGGGTCTTCCAGTTTCCTGAAGCCCGGTGTAACAACAGCTGAATGAAATTATGTGCTTACCCAAACCTTAACTAGAAAGGAAAGAGTATCCTTCAAGTTATGAATACTGTGCAGATTCCCAGCTGCCTACTATTCCACCTTCATCTGTAAACATGAGAACCTTGTCCCCAACAGGATCACAATGAACCAGAGGTTTGGTTGACCTAATATTGAAAATGTTTTAACGTTCCTTAAGCTACATAATCTTTCACATATGAGCAAAGTGTCAATACCAAATGGCTCGTTCCAAATGTTCAATTACTTCTCAGACAACTGAAAATAAACAAGTCACATTTCATTGCTTTGCTAACTGATACCCTCAGTGCACTGCCTGAAAACAGTAAGTGTTGCCCTGCAGATGGGATGATAAAGAAAACACTGGAAGTCATATCCAAGGTGCTCGTGTTCACGTTCAAGTCATAAAATGAATGGATTCATCTCAGCTAATCAAAATGCCTCAGCTAACCAAAGCTGAGACAGATCTTAATACATAGCAGAATGCTTATTTCTCAGGCACATGCTTATCTGTGGCTGGGTTAGGTTATAGCAAATGGTGGGCATAAAACTACAATATTTATATGGCTACGAGAACAGAAACAGACTGATTATAGATAGAATGTAATAACTGGTTTTCAAGAGATCAAGATGTACGTTTTCTGGTTTGCAATAATTAGAATAGGAAGCCTTAGCAAACTCAAAGAAGCTATTGCTTTTCAGTCACTATCCTCATAACTGTCAACGCAGATTTCTTTTTATCGAGTCTGCCGATTTTGGACAAAATATTTTAATGGTGTTTCAGACTTGTTTTGAGGCCTGTTAGGAAATACTCACAAATTTAATTTTCTGTCAAATGCTGTGTTAGAATGCTATTCTGACATATTCTATGCGCTTAAGATTACATCAAACTAGTAAGGAAGTTTACAGAGATTATTGTGAAGGCATATCCTTACACAGAAGTTATTTAACTGAACTGCAAACTTATTTTGCAAATCTTCCTGTCTGCCTTTAATTAAGAGGAACTTGTGTAAAATTTTGATGAATTCTCCGTGAACTTAACTCATGTGGATGATTGGGGAAAAATATTGCAGCCTACAGGAAAAAAACAATACACAAACAGATCAAAACAGATTTTAAATAAGAGTCATTAAAGGAATATGCAAAAAAATGCAACATATTTATATCAACTGATATGTGTAATCAGTGGTCCACTGAAGCCTTTGAAACAATAACATCTATGCAAAACAAGGATGTGCTTCTGTATAAATAAGAGCAAAATGGACTTAACCAGCCCATCTTACCATTTTGCCAGGCTCTCAGCCATTATCTAGACCAAATGAACTCTCCTTATTTAACAAAGGTTAGCATTAATTTTCTCTTTTAATTCAGTAGTTGGCCGTGATTCCAAAACTATAAATGCTCCACCTTGCATGGCTGAACTTTTGTAACATGCACAGCTGACTGTGGTGGATTGATTGTCACCACCAACAGTCCTCCACAAAGGCCACTGAACAAACAGGATTGTGACAACGGTATATCCCACTTAAGAGTTCATAGCTTGCCATAGCAGTTTGCATTAATTGTAACGTTATACATTAAAATGAATAAAATATCCCAATTTGTGTTCGTATGTGTTCATGGCACTTTTATGTATTACTTATAAAGAAATAATAGATGACTTGTTTATTTAATGTGAACAATCTTCCAGATGGTGCAATTCCAAGATATGTACAATTAAGCATCTTGATCTTACCATTGTCTTCAATGGAGAAATAGAAGATGTCACTGGTAGCATTATCACCTTCCTTCAGGACGTAGCTGATCTTCATTTCATCAATATCAGCTAAGAAAAGAACATGCTAAGTTAATAATCATAGAATTTTACTACAGAATATAGGACGCAGTTCATTCTACCTTTACTATTTGATTACTTACTAATAAGTTGGCTAATTTGTGGATAGAGCATTTCAGCAACCAAACTTGTATAATGCGATATGGCTACTTGCACTTGTCTGCACTCAGCAACACAACGTATATTTAGTTATTAACTCAAAGAACAATGGCAAGAATACAGTGAGATACAGTTTTACCATAAATATTTATTTTTAAATACTAAAGTCACAACCTTGGTTCAGCACATTAGGAAGAATTACTTTGCCGTAACTAAAATGAATCTATTGGGAGTAAAGATCTGCCCATTTTTTGAAGATCAGTTTAACTTTAATTAGTTTTTTTAAATTCTTCTGTGACACACAAAACTGTTGCAGGTACGTTAGGAATGAATATGAGAATGTATTAAACAAATTACAAATAGGTCTAAAAGTCCATAAAATTCTGATTTGATATTCCCAGAGAATAGGGGAAAACCATTAGGATATTTCTACTACCCTAAAGTTGCAGTTGTGTTATCCTGTGTCACATTTCATCAATATGAAGACTTCAGAGAAGTCTTCTACATTTGCTTTTAGTTTAGTTAAATAAACAACAATTTCATTTGATATAAAAATATTTGGGATATAGCTAGATGTTCTTTATACTCCATTTAGCATTAAGCTGTTCTAGAGCTAATTCTGATCTACTAAGAGACTGGGGTAACCAGTTGCTTTTGTTCTGGCATGGCAGATTTGGGTGCTTTCTGTCAACTGAAAATGTATGAAACACTCTTGAATGAATGGCAAATGATTTTTCACAGCACTGTAGTTTGGCAGATGAACTGCAGACTTTTAAAAATAGATTGTGTTATCGTAATCTTAAAGCTACAATCTGTCTGGAAGTTACACATAAATACATAAAACAGACATAAAGACTTTTTCTCTCCCCAGATTGTTTTCTCTTGCAAAAGAAAAGTAACGTACCTGAGCACATAAAAATAACAAAGACCTATAATCCTATTATGGTGTCTAATGGGAATTTTAGTAAATGTTGTCCCCCCTGCTGATAGTCAAGGCACACTGGAGGTAGGCAAAGTCTAGGCTGGAAGTTTCCTTGTGAAAGCTTTCAACATACTATTCTACCCAGGACAGATGAATGACAGTCCTAAACCCATCAAACTCCCTAAGATTGGCCGGAGCAGAGGGACATTTATAGAGAGTCTGGCTGCTGTGGCTGCGCCCCACCATCCTCTGAGGTGCTTCCCTCTGCACAGGTTTGGTGAAGCTGACCAAAAGGAGGCCTCCCTACCTACTGAGCTTTCTCTGTGGAACAGAATCACACAAAATGTAACCCAAACTACCGAGGCTACACTAGGTGTCCCCTGCCTCCTTTTTTTCTTTTCTTTTTTTTTTTTTTTTAAATACTAGATCCAGTGATGTGCAGAAACGTTAAGCACCTTTCCAAACAATTTTCTCTAAGACAATAGTGATTTTTGAGCCTGGGTTTAATTTCCAGGCAAGCAAACAGGTACTTCAGTCTTCAAAATTAAACTGGTGCAGGATCTGCAAATCACCATTTCAGATTTTATCCCATCATCTTATGAGCAGTACCATGCTATGTACATGGTAAGATACACATTTAACACACAGTAGGAAACATATTAATGCATGCACATACAACACAAAACTTTTCTATTGTGTCTTCATAGATAAAACAAAGTTTCATTTCTAAAATGCATGTATTATAATTCTGATCATTTGCATATACTTCATAGTTTAAAGACATTACTTTCTAAATCCCCTGAAACAAAGTTTCAAGTAACATAACACAAAATAACTGCTCATTGAGCCCAATGTTTATAAGCAAATACAACCATGAGCACCAACCTTGCATAAATGTTCTAATGCTCTCATTTCCAAGGCTGGTATTAATGAGGAAGCCATGCTCTGGCCCATCTGTTATTTTGTATTTTAACAGCTTGTGTGGACTGTCTCGATCCTCTGCCTTTAGTGCCTTACTAATGATCAGGAAGCCTCGGTGCCCAGCTGGAAGTCGTCAGAGTAAGGGCACCCTTGTTCACCAGTAACTGTGGCACTCTATTGTCCAGTGAACTGATCTGAATCTTCATCATCTGGGGTTGATGGATCTCCTTGCTAGTGTCAGGGAAAACACAAAAGTTTGTGTGGGTCCCATCAGTCACAGAGAAGGAGAAACTATCCTGGCTGGTTTCTGTACCATCATGTCTGTAGCTGATAAGATTCTCATTCAAGTCTTGTTTGGTGAAGCTGGTGACTGGGTAGCTGTTGTAGAATATCTGGCCATGCCCTGGAACCTGAGTGACTGTCAATAGGAGTAAATGGCCGGGCGTATCCCCATCTTCCACAGTCAGTTCAAAAGGGGTGATCAGCCTAGTCTGCCCTTCCTCAGCAACCAGGTCACCAATAGTTAGAACTGGCTTTTTATTGTCCACATCTGTGATGGGGACCCTGAAGGTAAAGAAGACTGGGTTATACCCATCTGTCACTTCAAACTCAAAACTGTCCATCTTCACCTCATCCTCTGCAGTGTGAATGTTGTAAATCCTGTTGCCAGCAAGTTGGAGTTGAGTAAAGGAAACAACGGGTACTCCAGGACTGTCTGAATTCTCTAGATGGCCCCAGGTTGGGGACTGGGTGACACTGAAATGCAAATTTTCATCAGAATTGTTAAACATCACTTGTGCTGAGCAGATCAGAGTTATACCCTTATTGATCACCTCAGGGAAGACTATATCAATGCTACCAATGGTAATATAGAAGTACCTGTCTATCAGCGCATTAATACCATCAGTAATATCAAATTTAATCAGACCACGCACTCCATGTAGGCCAGTATGAACATAGTGGATAAAACCCTGGTCTAAATCATCCTGTGTGAAGTTTGTGCCTTGTGTAACATTGTGCAGCACTTCCTCTTGTCTCTGTTCAGGTGCTGTAAGAAACCCCGCACAGGTGGCAAATGGATGACATAAACAAGGCTCTTGTCCTCTGAATCGATGTCTGTGGTTTTAAGGTCTTGACTAGAGATAAACTTTGACTTGCCAGTCTCTACTTCCAGACCACTGTTGATTGCCATCCTGGGAATCTCATCATCTACCAGGATCACCATAATCAGCATGTTCTGCTCCACTGTGTGGCGTCCATCAGTCAGCTGAATTTGGAAGCTATCTTCTTTCGTCTCTGAGTCATCATGTTCATGCACAATGCTGGAAGCCTCCTGGATCTCCTCCAGCGTGAAGCTGTGAACAGGCACAGTGCCTGTGGACAGCTGCCGCACAAACTGCCCACGCTTAGGAGGGACAAGAATAACAAAACACAGCTCATGTGGAGACATGTCTGCATCAGCTCAGTTGAGGATGGGAGTGTCAATCACCGGGCTCATCCCCTCAAGCACCATGAATTCACACATAAACAGTTCCAGCTTTTCATCATTCGCGGGGATGATGATGATGATGATGGGGAAGAACTGGTGAGGTGAGAAATTAACACCATCAGAACACTGGAAAGTGAATCTATCCTCCACAGGCTCCACCCCTTTATGAATGCTCTGCACATAGCTGACATAGCCTAGATGAACATCTTGGATGGAAAAAGCACTAATGGCAGTACCAGCTCTAGACTTCTCAGACCCTGGGGCTGGAGAGACATTCTCCAAATATCCTGAAGTGGATTGAACTGTGACAATGCACAAGATGTCATCTCTGGGAGTATCTACTTCCTCCACATCCAGCTGATCAAGAGTTAGAGTACTCTTCCCTCCCTCAAGGACACTGAGCGGCTCTGCCGCAACCATCACTTCAGGTGCAATGCTGTCCACAGGCAATATAGTCACAGCCACCCTTTGTACTGTGCTGTCTCCCACCACCCATTCACTGGTGAGGTCAGAAACAGTGAGACTGAAAGAATCATACCTCTTTTTCAAGCCAATCTCTCCACTGGTGTGAGCATAAGCTACTGCTCTGCCGATGAGGTCATGCTGGGTAAACTTTTCTGATTGCACTCCATCCACGAGGATGTCACCCAGCTTGGGGGGGATCCTGCACAATGAAGGTCAGCACCAAGTCATCTGTATCCTTATCTGTACCCTAGATAAGCGACATAGTCATTTCAGTAGCATCATTTTCCAGGACATCAATGGCTGCTCCCACCCACCTGTGACCACCAGGGAGAGCGATACTTGGGTTTTCATCATCCACAGGCTGCACAGCAATCCTGACTGTGACTGGCACATGATGGACTCCATCACTCACTTCCAACTGATAAAAATCACTGGCAAACTCATTGCCGCTGTGCTGGTAGGAGATGAGCCCACCAGCAATATCATCTAGCAGGAAAGATTACCCTTGCACCATCAGACCCTCCTCCAGATAATGTAAATGGCCGTGCTCTGGAGCCTGAGTTACAGTGAAGACAATCTCATCTGTAGATGCATCCTCATCTCTGGCATCCAGTTGATTGCTGGTGAGAAGGAAGCTGTTTCCCTTAAGCACATTGAAGCCTGTATTGGTGATCTGAGGTGGCTGGCTGTCCACTGGCTGCAGGAAGAGAGTAAGGGTACCTTGTAGAGAATTGCCAGCTGAGTCCTCTACAAGGAATATCAACTGAACCACCCGTGGTGCGATCCCCAGCTCCAGGGGTCGACATGCCACCTTGTGCTGATTGACCTGGGCCTGGGTGAAACGCGCAATGGACGTCTCGGGACTGTCGGCCAACACAATCTCTCCAGTGACCACAGAGTTGTTCTCATCTGTGTCAGTTGGGGGTGTCAGTAAAGTGTACTTCAGCTCCCTGTCATCTGTATCCAGGTCAGTGTACTGTAAATAGTGCTTCTTAAATACAGCTGGTATTCCTGCTCTGTCATCTGCAGGCTAGTCCCTGGGTACACTGCAGGTGGCAGGTTGTCTACCGGTTGGACTTTGACAGGAAGCACATCCTCCCCTGACTGGTTAGGGAGGTCACAGTCATCCTGCAGCTGGAACACAATGTGGCCCATCACCGGGCTGGCACTGTGAGATCCCGTGTGCCTGAAGAACAGCCTCCCATCGAGGATGTCCTGCTGCAACCACTCGTTCACTACCCTCTCATACATCTGTTCATCCTCCACAAAGTGCCAGGGGAAGAAGAGGAGTCACTCTCCAACCCTGCTCCACTTTCCTTGCTCTCATAAGATGCTGGTTGCTCTGCCTGGCACAGCAGCAGCTCACCAAAGTGGTGGGAGTGTAGCAGGGACACTGCAGTCCCCAACCACAACAAATCAGACAGAGGTATCATCAGAGTCAATGTCTGTAGCACTGAGGACAAAAGGTGAGATTTGGATAGTTTGGTGCTTGCTCTGCACCAGCCCTGTATTTGCATTCAGCAATGGTGGCTGATCGTCATCAGGAGCAATGGTGATGGGGTACAGAAATTTGACCTGGAGCTGCCTGTCTGCCACGTGGAACACAATGTTGTCACTGTAGCTGTGCTCACTGCCATCATGCTGGTAAATCACCTGCCCTGCTGCTAGCTCTGCAGCAGTGAAGTACTTGCGACGGGGTGGTACACCCAGTACCTTGAGCTTCCCGTATCACAGACCCTGTGTGACCCAGATCTTCACCTCTTTCAGATTTTCCTCATCACTGATCTGCAAGTTGCCAGACAGAGGTTGTGACTGACCCTCAAAGAGCATCAGCTGTGGGCCAGCCACATGACTGAAAGTGGCCACAGGGGCCAATGTGTTCTTGGGCTTTACCAGGATCATGAAAGCAAAAGGCTGTAAGAAGGCACTGTCAGGGTCCAGCACTTCCATTTCCACCTGGAAAAGCCGCTCCTGGTCTGAGTCCAGAGTAGGGGGCTGGTAGGCAATCTTCAGCTCCCTCACCTCCTGCTGCATGAAGGCAAGGAGGGAGTGACTGGGGTCATCGGTGCTGAGCAGGAAGCCTTGCTGCCGCGGGTCACTGGGCCAAGCAGAGGTGAGGTTGAAGATCAGGAGGTCCGCAGGGGTCTCCAGGTCCTCAGCCACCGGCACGTCCGGGGTGAGGGCTGTGGACGCAAACAGGTCCGGCTCCATTATAAGCAGTACCAGGAAGCTGGGCTTGGGCGGCGTGTTGTCAGCCCCTTCATGGATCCGCACCAGCACCTGGAAGTACTCCCGCTGCTCTGGGCG